ATGAAAAGATCCCCCATGTTCTTGGATAGGAAGGATCAACATAGTAAAAATGACAATCCTACCAAAAGCAACCTATAAATTCAATGTAATCCCCATCAAAATTCCAACACAATTCCTCACAGACCTTGAAAGAACAATAATCAACTTCATATGGCAAAAAAAACCCAGGATAGCCAAAACAATCCTGTACAATAAAGGAACTTATGGAGGGATCACCATTCCTGACATTAAGATCTATTACAGAGCTACAGTAATGAAAACAACTTGGTATTGGCATAAAAACAGAGAGGCTGACCAATGGAATCGAATTTAAGACCTGGATATTAATCCACACACCTATGAATATCTGATTTTTGACAAAGAAGCTAAAATTATACAATGGAAAAAAGAATCTTCAGCAAATGGTGCTGGCATAACTGGGTGCCAACATGTAAAAGAATGAAAGTAGATCCATATCTATCGCCATGCACCAAACTCAGGTCCAAATAAATTAAAGACCTTAATATAAATCCACCACACTGAGCCTGATAGAAGAGAAAGTGGGAACTAGTCTTCAATGCATGGGTACAGGAGACCACAATATAACCCCAGTAGCACAGGCACTGAGAGCAACAATAAATAAATGGAACCTCCTGAAACTGAGAAGCTTCTGTAAAGCAAAGGACACAGTCAATAAGACAAAAATGCAGCCTTTACCAACCCCACATCAGACAAAGGACTGATCTCCAAAATAAATAAAGAACTCAAGAAATTAGATAGTAAGATTCTAAATAACCCAATTTAAAAATGCGGTACTGAACAAAACAGAAAATTCTCAACAGAATAATCTCAAATGGCCAAAAGATACTTAAGGAAATGTTCAAAATCCTTAGCTATCAGAGAAATGCAAATCAAAACAACTCTGAGATACCATCTTACACCTGTCAGAATGACTAAGATCAAAAACATCAATGATAGTTTATACTGGAGTAAGGGTTTGGAGTAAGGGGAACACTCATCCATTGTTGGTGGGATTGCAAACTTATACAACCACTTTGGAAATCAATATGGTGGTTTCTCAGAAAATTGTGAATCAACCTACCTCAAGATCCAGCAATACCACTCTTGGGCATATACACAAAAGATGTTCAATTATACTACAAAAGCATTTGTTCAACTATGATTTTTTAGCAGCATTATTTGTAATAGCCAGACCCTGGAAACTACCTAGATGCCATTCAAACAAAAAATGAATAAAGAAAGTGTGGCACATCTACACATTAGGGTACTACTCAGTGGTTAAAAAAAAAAAAAAAACAATGACATCTTTAATTTTGCATGCAAATGGATGGAATTAGAAAACACTTTCCTGAGTGAGGTTACCCAGATCAAAAAGATAAATATAAATATGGTATGTACTCACTCATAAGTGGATAATAGCTATAAACAAAGGACATTTAGCCTATAGTTCATGATCCTAGAGAAGCTTAGTAATAAAGTAAACCCAAAGGAAAAAAATATATAGACCCACCTGTAAATTGGAAACAGACAGGACTAGCAGGGCTGGGAGCATGGGGGTGGTAAAAGAAAGGAGGGTAAGAGGAGAGGAGGAAGGGAGAGGGGGAGGGTAGAAGAGAACTTGAGGGAATGGGATGGTCAAAATGGAGGAAGGACAGAGATGAGAGCAAGGAGAGAGTTATCTTGATTGAAGGAGCCATTATGGGGTTATCAGAAACCTGGCTCTGGAGAAATTCCCAGGAATCCAAAAGGATGACCCCGCCTAGGACCCTGGGCAATAAAGGAGAGGGGGTCCAATCTTGACCTGCCCTGTAGTCAGACTGATGAATATCTTAAATATTATCATAAAGCCTTCATCCAGCAAATAATGGAGGCAGAGGCAGAGATTTGCATCGGAGCACTGGATTGAGCTCCCAAGGTTCAGTTGAAGAGTGGGAGGAATGAGAATATGAGCAAGGAGGTCAAGACCATGATGGGTTCACCCACTGAAACAGTTTGCCTGAGCTAATGGGAGCTCACCAAATCCATCCAGACTGGGAAGGACAAGCATGGGACCAAACTAGTTCCTCTGAATGGAGCTGACAGTTGCATGGCTGGGGAAGACTGAGGGGTCATTGGCAGTGGCACTGGGATTTATCCCTACTGCATGTACTGACTTTCTTGGGAACCTATTCTCTTTGGGTATGTACCTTGCTCAGCCTAGATATAGTAGGGAGGGCCTTGGACCTTCCACAAGGCAATGTGCCTTACCCTCTCTGAGGATTGGATGGGAGTCAAGTGGGAGAGTGTGTGGAGGAAATGGAAGGAGGGGAGGAATTAGAAACTTAGACTGGTAATTTTTTAAAAGTCTAATAAAAAAATCTGAATTCAAATAAACACAAATAAATATTTACATTTTAAGAATTGAGAAGGGATAAGACCGTTATAGTTGAATCCTTCCTCCCGTTCCTTGAAATTATTTGAATAACTCAAGTCAGAAAAGTAAGCATGAGATAGGCTGTAGATACAAGGTCACAGTCACAGTAGCAACAATTTATTCACTTCTATCTTTGACCTATGGTCAAGACAATATACTAGAGATCTTAACTCACTGCTGTAGGAAAGAGTTCACTAACCTATTTCAAATAGCACTTATTAGGCAGGTATTCCAACATTCCACACACCCAGCTCTCACTAGACTCATGCCTACATTTTTGCACACCCAGCTCTCACTAGACTCATGTCTACATTTTTGCACACTCGGCATTCACTAGACTCATGCCTACATTTCTGCACACCCAGCATTCACTAGACTCACGCCTACATTTCTGCACACCCAGCTCTCACTAGACTCATGCCTACATTTTTGCACACCTGACATTCACTAGACTCATGCCTACAGTTCTGCACACCCAGCTCTCACTAGACTCATGCCTACATTTTTGCACACCCGGCATTCACCAAACTCATGCCTACAGTTCTGCACACCCAGCTCTCACGGAACTCACGCCTATATTTCTCACGAGCCACTCGTAGTATTAGGCTCTTGACACTTGATGCTCTCTAGATTTGGACTGCCACTCAGACGTAAAGTATTTCCCTATTTCTACATGAACACAACAGAATGAATTATTTGGGATATTTTAAGTTGAATAGTGCATACTAGTAAAATGAATTTCACTTGATGCTCTTAATATTTTTTTAAGGTGGCTCTTTGAAATTTTTTAACTACATAGGTGATTCCCATTATGTTTCTATGGGAAAGTGTTGCCTGTCTATTATCATGTTTAGTTTCGTTTTGTTTGTTTGCTTGGTAACAGGTTCTAATGGTGTAGCCCTGTCTACTTCATCTCAGAACTGGCGGCTGCAGCTCCTGCAGGCTAGGAGCTGCAGGTATAAGCCACCACACACAGTGACACTCTTTAAATTGAGAAACTGCTCTTTACTCAGCCCATAAAATCTTTCTGTCCTAATCTTTTTTATCAATTATATTAGACACAAATAATAGATAGGCAGTTGCTGACTTAGGGAATTTCTTTCATTCATTGAAAACTACAGCCAGGTATGTAATTCCAACCCAAAGAGGAAGGAACAAGAGGACTGGGAGTTCAAGGCTAGCTTTAGCTGCTTGAGACTGTCTCAAAATAAACAAACACAAAAGGCAAAAAAAAAAAAAAGAATAGTATCTTAATCTTTTATGATCCAGAAACATGTCTGTATGACAAGGAACCCAGAATTCCCCGAAAATAGGTTTTCTTTTGTTTATTTGTTTTGATATTTTGAGAATATTTTTAGTCTGATATTTGAGGGGAGGGGTGCTTTGGTTGTTCTTTATTTTTCCTTGTTTATTTTGTGGGGTTGTTCCCCTGGTGTTGTTTGATTGTTTGCCTGAGATATGATATTACTGTGAGGACCTGGTTGCCCTACAACTTCTGACTTAGACCAAGCTGACCTTGTCTCTACCTTTCAAAAGCTGGGGAATGAGTCACCATGCACAAGCCCCAAAAATGTCTATTACAGAAACAGTTATAGGATGGATGGATATATGTAAGATAAGTCTTACATTGTGTTTTTGTTTCAGGTGGGATATGCTTAAGAATGGACCCAAGACTTCATGGGCTACACTCCAAACCCACATTATTCTTTTCTTATCACCAGCATTTTATTCATGAAACGCAATCATGAAATGGATACCTTCTCCACCACACCACAGCATTAAGACAGTCCTAAATGGTCTCTTCAACAGAATTTTTAAATGTTTCAATCCAATGTACTTCTGTACACCCAAGCAGGGTTCCCTACCTGTATCATAAGGCACAGAAGGTAATTTGAGCAACTACTTTGTCAGTTTTTCCAAGAACAGCCTAACTACTAAACTCCAGCCACACAAGAGAAGTTCGTTCATTCCATGTAATAGCTTTCAGTCGCTAAAGCTTGATTTTATATGGAACATCATCATGAAATCGTTAGGCCCTAGCATTGCCTAGATAATAATGATTAAGAGTCATACAGTCAGGGCCAGAATACAGTTGAGCAAGTAAGGGTGTCTAACCACCCGAGGTAAGTCCCAGAACCCATAGAAAGGTGGAAGGAGAGAAGCAAAGTTGTCATCTGACCCCCACAAGTGCTTTGTGACATGCCTTAAACACATTATACACATAATCTAATAAGCATTTTTAAGATTTATATTTATATAGTTGTTGTTTATGAGCTATAAAAATCAGCGAAAACAAGTTCCCAAAAAGAAAATTTATATTCTGTCTGGCAGATTGTGCAATTATGCTCTGAAAAGACTTCTAAAAGTTATTGAGGAAAAAAAGACAACAGCAAACACGTTAAAGTCATAACATGGCAGTTATGACTTCAACCTAATGTTCAGCTAATGTACTAAACATTAACTATCTTCAAATTGCTTTAAAATAATTACGAATTCTGCTATTCCAGTTATCCCTTAAAATACCATTGCTATCATAGTTACAATGATTACAGTCATAATTACACTTGGCGATTTAGTCATACGTTACCTAAGTATATCAGTCCAAACCCTCCGGAGCCGATCATCTTGCCGAGTGCCCACTGGTTTCCGTCCATGTCATCCAGAATTTTGCCTTCTGGGAGTGGAACCGGAAGTTTGTATTTCTCTTTTCTTTTCGGTGCCATCACATCTGTTGACAGAGGGGTGAGATAAACAGTGAAAAACAAAACTCGAGCGTCAGAACTCATTTCTTCCAATGTTTTACCCAGAATGAAGATTAGGATCCTGAAGTCAGTTCCAACTAGAGAAGTCTATCCACCATAATCAAGTTAGAAATCCATATGCTTTGAAATCTAAAAGATACTGGCATATACATTATATATATATTGACTGGGGCTGGAGAGATGGCAGGAGGTTTAGAGCATAGAATGCTTACATAGACGACATGGTTCGGTTCCCAGCACCCACATGGCAGCTTGCAACCCTCTGGACTCCAGCTCCAGAAGTCTGATGCCATTGACCGTTCCCACTGGCACCTGCACGCACACACACACACACACACACACACACACACCTAGTTAAAAATAAAAAACAAACCTTTAAAAAATATCCACTGTGTTTCGTTTAAATCAATTCTTCACAACTCTACTTACCGGTTTATTAATACTTAGCAACACTACAGAATACACTTTAAGAAAATGATTTCACACACAAGTAAATACTCATTTGTTGAGAATGCTGTGTTAACATGAGGCCAATAGACTGAAGAGGTATGCGGCTTTAAATTCAAAGGTCAGACACTATGAGCATCAAAGAGCAAGGGTTTTCCTGGCTATCTAATCGGGCAGGTCAGACCACTGGCTAGTTCAGGCTAGTTTTGTTTTTTCTGACATGCCCTCTTACCCACTACCATCAATATGAAAACAGCTTTGCTTTTGAGATTATGGATATACAGATAACAGGTATTCCATCATCCATGAGAAAACCATACAATCTTAATCAATTATCATTGTATACAGATTAGCAAATTACTAATGGGAGCTTTGGGGGGTTGGCCAAGAACATTTATACGGGGCATAAAATTATATTAATAAATATCAGAATAAATGAACGAAACTAAATGTGAAAGCAACCATGAACCTCTTAGAATTTCTAGATAAAAGCAAAAATGAGTTCTGCTTTAGTTTGGTTTCTATTGCTGTGATAAACACCATGGATAAAAGTAACTTGGGACAGAAAGGGCTTATTTCACTCGATAGTTTACAGTCCATCCTGAAGAGGTGTCAGGGCAGAGTTCAAAACAGGAACTCTAGGCAGGGACGGGAGCAGCTAGGAGGGAAGAACCCTGCCTAATGGCTCCTTGCTGCCTGACAGGCTTGGAGGAGTTGGCTTTCTTAAACACACCAGGACCTGCCCGGAGGGCACTGCTTACAGTCATTCCTTCAGAGGGCCATTGGGCCAATCTAATAGAGGCATTTGCTCGTTAAAGTTCCCTCTTCCCAGATGACTCCGGGTGGTGCAAAGTTAACGAACAACCACAACAAAACCCTACCCAGGACAAACGCTTTCGTGAAAATGATTCATAAGTACACCCAGTGCAAACTTTGTCCCATCTTCAGTTTCCTCCACTTACTGAACCCAGTGCCGCCGAGGCCGCCCCTTAAAAATATTCGGACTGAATCCAACCACAACCAGGGCGGGAAACCTAAACTTTGCCTAGCGCACGATGCTGAAGTAGGACGTGTGTCACCGGATCCCCGTAACCGGGCAGAACATCGTGACACCCACGCCAAAGTTGCTGACTGAAACTTTCAAGTCTCCTAGAACAACTTCAGAGCGGGCGGCTACAAAGATACGTGAAGTTTGGGGTACTCGGTACCCCCGGGGTGAGCCGCTCGCCGGGTGCAGACCCCTCCCCCGCAGCGGGCAGCGGCGGCCGTGTTCCCGACCGGACAGTCCCGGGTGTGCAGAGCTAGCGACCGGGTTCCGGGACAGGTCGGTACCCAGGGGCGAGCGGAGGCCCGGCCTGCAGCCGTCCGGACCGCGTGGCAGCCCCCGAGCTGACCTCGGCGACCGAGGGATGGAGGGACGGAGGGAAGACTGACCTGCCGCCCG